CTCTGCAGCCCAACATAGAGGCTCTAACTCTTTCCCACCCTCTTTGGGGTAGTAAACACTCAGGAGGCTCTTAGCACAGGGATTGCAATCCTGGCTGGCTCCTATCCCAGGTGTGCAAAGGAGGAAGCTTTGTGCATGCCACCTTCTTAATTACGTATCAAGGTGTGGGAGTCAACCAAGGTTTGGTTCTTAAATTAGTCTTGCATGAAGTTATTACACACCTAAAGTGATTTAAAAATGAGAAGGTATCCAGATTTTGTGAGGTGAGTTCATTTGATCTTCTTAATGTCACAACTGATTAAAATGATCATCCACAAATCTGTAGGGACGCTATGGGCCAGATCCTCAAGTGATGTAAATGACTTCTCTCCATTAGCTTCAATTATATCAGCTGATCTGGCTCTGTGTCAATAGGCTTATGTAGCAGCATCAGACTGGGTTTTGGGTGGATATATAGTCAAATTAGTCTAGTGAGTCAAATTAACAAATAATGTTGCCAAACAACACATCTTTGAGTTCACCCATATATTGGAGCTATTGTAAATTAACAACATATCTTTCAAAGGTTTGAGTATAGTAAAAAGTATTATAAGCCATTGGGCCAATTTCTAAACTCATTACACTGGTCTTGCATTATTTTAATTCTGCTGATTCCATTCATTACTCCGGATTTGCAGCAGTGTGAGGTCAGATTTGGGTCCAATGTGTGTCTGTTGGAAATGATATTGAGTGAAATAGTGGTATAATTTGTATTCATTAGGAGAACCATCAGCATCAAGGACTCAATTCCATAAAACTCAAGATTTCTCTCTATTTTGGTGGCTTTCCGAAGGACATAGCCTGCCCCTGAATCCTTATTCTGACAAAACTACCACTGATTTTATATTAGCTTTCTTTTTTACTATTGTTCTTCCTTTGAAAGCTCTGTACGCAGGAGCGGCGCCAAGGTTTTTGCCGCCGTAGGCAGGGGGTCCTTCCGCGCTCCCGGTCTTCGGAGCACTTCGGCCGCAGGTCCCGGAGCGAGTGACGGACCCGCTGCCAAATTTCCGCCGAAGACCCGAAGTGCGGAAGGACCCCCCCCCCGCAGCCGAATTGCCGCCCCCCAAATGCTGGTGCCTTAGGTGACCGCCTAGGTTGCCTAAATGGAAGTGCCAGCCCTGTCTGTATGTTACTTTTTATTCCAATGAAATTCTCATTCACTGAGAGTTCACTGAGAAAGGAGTGCAGGATTGGGTTGAGATGGATGAATGCTTCATTACATCACCAAGAAGGGTGCAGGTCACGAAGGAGAACTCAATTGAAAATGCGAAGCAGTCAGTGCTTTAAAGTGTGAATTTGCCTCAGGATACTGATGCTCACTTGCTCTTCGAGACTGTTCTGATATGAAGAAGGTGTTACTCTAGAAACCTGACTAGTGCTAATTGATAATATTGTTAAAGCCCAATCCTGTGAAGAGGAACTTCTATTGACTTCAACTCAGCACTTCTCAGTATGGGGACCTAAGCCAGAATGGAAGGGAAAAACATTAGTAGTGGGGTGAAGGGGGACAGCTAGGAGGACTGGGTGGGATTTCAAACAGTGATCAACAGACTCTTAATTAAATTCAAGAGTATTTTGCCACCCTCCGTATCTGCTCTGGCTCTTACCCTGTGAGATCAAGCCTAACGTGTCACATCCTTGGTATTGCCAACCCCTGTGTACAAAATCATGAGACAGGTTCCCCAAATAATGATAATTTTTTTGTTTCTTTTTTTATTTGCCTCATGGTGTTTGTCGCTGATGTTCACTTTTTACAGTTTTTCTCTGTACCCATGAGGGCTAGAAACCTACTTAAAAATAAAAAAGTTGAGATTTGAACATAACCACCTCACTCTTGGGACTGGAGCTTTAAGAAAAAAAACACCAAATATCAACAGACTTGCAATAAAATCAGGAGCTGGCAAAACTCTCTCTATTGATCTTAAAGTTTTATAGTGCCACACATCATCTTATTATCTTAGAGCCCTGCATGTAAAATCAATAGCATTAGCAAAGTCCCTAGAGGACTTCATAAAGTCTCTGTAACTTCTTCTTTTATGGGGTCAGATTTTGCCTGGAGTAGGTTTTTTGGGAGGGCTGAGAGGAGTTTGGGAATAAAAGGGGTGTTCAAGCTGTGAGTGTTTCTTATGGTAGTAAAAGTTTTCTCAAAGAGGAAGGCTTTGCAATATTTCCTAAAGATGGTCAGATTCTGGATTCACCTGATCTTCTGTGGAAAATTGTTCCAGAGCTAAACCTCCTTGACCAAGATACTTTGTCTTCAGCTTTCACTTTGTCTTCAGCTTTGTCCTGGACTTTGAGATCTGCATTATTCCAGAGGAGCACAGCTGTTTGAGGGTTCATAGATCAATATTCAGTCTGTGGTATGCCTGGGCTTTTGCTTTGAAAATTAGGACCATGGTCTTAAACTGGGATTGGATGCTGACTGGGAGCCAGTGGAGGGACTTGAGCACAGACCTTATTTGTTCATGGGGGACTGAGCCATAGAGTAGGTGGGCAGCCTCATTCTGTACCAGTTGGAGCCTGAGCATCCTCTTCAGCTTCAGATAAAGCAAGTTACAGTAATCCAGCCTGGAGTTGATAGATGCATGGCTCATGGTAGCCAGGTCCTCATCTGGGAGGAAGGGATGAAGTTTCCTGGCAAGCTGGAGGTGAAAGGAAGCATTTTGGGAAACTGATGCTACCTGATCATCTAAGTTTAGTGAGGAGTCGAACAAGTCTCTAAGGCTTCACACCACTTTGATGAATAGGGGCTGTATGGCTTCGTTGGAAGGTGGAGACAGAGTTTTGGCTAGATCTTCAACATGTTTCCCCTTTCTGACCTGCATCACTTCAGCCTTGCCTGGGTTCAGTTTGAGCCAGCTGCTTTTCATCCAAAAGCAAATTTCCTGTAGGCATTCTGCCATTTTAGTAGCAGCAGTGGTTCCATCAGTTCAGAATGAGATATATAGTTGAGTGTCATCAGCATCAGTGATATTTTTTCTTAAAACCTATATTCCAATGCCTTTCACTGTTTAAAATAAACTAGTGAAACTAGTGATGTTCGGGAAGTTGCACTGTTCTACACTACGTCCTTTGGTCCTTAACAAAAGGAATAATTTCTTTTTTCAAAACTGTATAACTCAAAATTATTGGGCCTAATTCTTGAACTCAGCTAAACTGTGCTTGCCACAGGACCCCAGGAGCTGACATGTGGGAACATGGATATATGTGGCCTTTATACCCCTTCTCTCCCTATTCTGGTCCAACTGGGGGCTAGTTCAGTCCCATGGCTACTGAGTTACTCCTAGCTGTACCTGTCACTTATTGGATGTTTCTGGAGATGGGCGTTGCTGGAACATAGCAGCACTCTGGCCACACGCTCTAGGCTACAGTCCAGAAGGCAGTTTTTCAGGGGCAGACATCTTGCAAAAACTGTGAGTTGGCTGGTTAGGCCAGCTTTATGGCTTCTTTGTACTATTGGGGCAGCACAAAGAGGTCATATTAGACCAGACAATTGGGTGCATTATCTTGATTATACATTACTGCTGAGTAACATATTTTATACAAACTGCATCTCAGAGTTCTTTATAGAATTATTTCTTAAAGATTGGGCCAAATCCTGGTCTTGGTGAAGTCAATGGAAGTCTTGCAAGTGACTTTAATAAGATAAGTGTTTGATTCCCACCCATCCTGACTGCCCCACATAAGCCAGCTGTTCCTAAATCCTGTAATTAGTGTGCTGCCAGCAGCTGGGGGTCAGGTGAAAGCCTTCTAAAGTCATTTGATTTTTTTTTTTCTTGCAGTGTTTTATGTGATGCTTTCAAGAATTATTTGGACTGTTGATAGTAACTGTTGGACATAGAATTGGAAACTGCTACAGACACCATTTGCATGTTCTCAGTTCTTTAGTTAATGGCTCTTGGATCTAACAACCAGCTCCAGAACAGAAGCAGTTACTCCATAAATCACTCTAATGGCAAAGCTGCACAATAAAAACAATTTTGGGGTTTGACTTTCTCAGTGATGGGGCAACTTTGGAAAGTTATGGGGTAACAATGGTCACTTCTCAGTTTATTTGGCCTTCTGTGGCAGATATATAGGTTTTGACACCGTAAAAATGAGCTTTACATGAAAATTAAAATTTTCGATAGAAGCTTTGCATGTATGTCTTGCAAGTGCAACTAGGGTACAACACTCCCTCCGTTTTTCTGTGCTGGTCATTCTTTTTGGACCAGATTCTTATCTCAGTTATGCCCGACTAAGTCTGGAGTAACTCCCTTGGAATCAATGGTGTTTAGTTAGAATTACTCTGGTATCACTGATATGAGAATCTGGCTCTATCCTAGTCCTTACTTTTGTAAGTACTGGATGATAGTGTATGTTTTACTCAATGGGCTTGTAAAGTCAGCTGTTCAGAGTGTAGATTGTGCAAAACTGCCAGTGTTAAGAATTTTACAGTCCCAAAGACTCTAGCACATGCATCACTACCCCTGTTCCTAAGGTGTTTCTTGGTTACTAATGAAAGATGTGAATACAGTATTTTCAAAACTGTAGTGTTACCTTTATAAATGACCAGAAACTGGATCCCAAGCAATCCACCCCAAATTTTGGGGAAGTTCAGATCCAAATCTGGATCCTTACTTAACAGCTGACTTCTTATTCCATTAGCTCAACCAAAACACTGGATTCCAAGCTCCCAAACTTGAGGAAAGTTCTAGTACTGATCCAGATCCAAACTTCACATCTTGGGTCAATCTCTTAGTACTTTTAAAAGCTCTGCCAGGCTAACGCTTCTGTGACAAATAAATTGTACTATTTATTTATCTTTGGCTGTAATTCTTTAGGGAGTGAGCAAGAGTGACAGTTGACCCAATACATATATATCTATGCTGCATGATGTGATTTCACGTTCCCCAGGTACAAATACTGCCCTTCCAAATATCATATACCTAGAATGAGGATTTTTTGTTTTATTTTTATAGACCCTGCCAGTGCGGAAGATTCCATGCAAAGCCAATGCTCCTTCAGGGTCTTTTTTTGCACGAGACAACACAGCAAATTTCTTATCCTGGTGCAGAGATGTGGGGGTGGACGACACATGCCTATTTGAATCAGAAGGCTTGGGTACGTACTTGCTTATATGGTAATCGACAATGTTGAAAGTAATTCTGCTTTTATAGAACTAAAAGGTCAGCTGTGCTCACACTGATTTTAATGGGAATTGGATTAAACCAATAAGGCAAAAGCACTGCTATTTAAAATTGAATTGGCCACTGAATATCTTTTTGGTCCAGGTGGACATTTTGCAGATGGTTAACTTTCATACGTGCCTTGCCACATATGTTAGAAGTATAGTGCGATCCACTAAAGCTGGTTAAATAGCATTTCAAAATACTATATTCATTTAAAAAAAAAAACAGATGATAGGAAGAAAAATACCAACACAGTGTTTTTAAAACCTGGAAATGAAGTTGCTTAATATATTGCAGGCACTCAACCTGTGGCCCTTAATCAATCAAAATTCCTATTTATTTCACTGGCAGTTCAGTTTGAGTAAGAACTGCACAGTCAGGGATGGCACTAGACACTCGAGTGCCCTAGGCCACTGCTACCCAATGGTGAAGGGGGAACCTTTAAAAAGACAGCCCCCTATCAGTGATATCCTGGCTGGGCCACAACTGTCTAGAGCTTTGGATCTCACCACTTACTGCTAACCTGATGGAGTGCCAGGGCAGCGGGGGTGCATCTGGACAGACACTTATAAGCATTAAGAGCATGCAATGGACATGTTCAAAATTAGTCATATTTTAATATCTACATATGTGAGACCATGCCATTTTTAGATACATAATAGTCATTACTGACCAAATTGCTCCATGACATTGTGGCTCATTGTGTTAAAATGGATTGTTAAAAGGAAAAAAAAAATCTGTTTCTGAACTAGAACTTTACCATTGGTCAGAAAATTTTAATTTAATTAAGCACCAGGACCAAGATCCATTGAAGTTTAGACACTGTTTGAAACCTGCAGTAAAGTACAACTGAATTTCATCTTGTAGTAATAGATATAATAATAATTAATAAGATAATATAAAACTAAAAAGAGCAGCTGTGACAGAAATTAGGAGGAAGAGGATATTGTAATATCTCCTGAGTCTGCATTCACCCTCCCTACCCCACAAGGGATGGGCACAAGACCTATGCACCAGTTAAATCCCACTTAAGCAGGACTTAGGAGGTACACAGGCTTTGTATTTGCCCCCTGCACAAAGATGTGTTTTATGCCAGGTACATTTTTTTTTATTGTACGAATCCCTGATATTAGAATGGCCTGGGATTCTTGCTCCTTAGTTCACCAAATAAGACGATTCTTTTTGTCTCTGGAGAGTCGGGTCCAAACGTGCTCACAGTTTTGGCTGCAGGAAATTCACCATTATACCACAGATTTGGTAGGTATATCTCAGGAAGGGAGAGAATATGAAATTATTCTCCCCATCCCACACTGACTTCTTTTCAGCTGATTACTCCTCAACTGCCTGGAGGAGAGTGATATTCAACACTCGTGCCTGCAGCTGCTCCACTACAAGAATGGACTATTTCAGCTAAATCATCATCCTAATAATGCTTCATACCTATTACTCTTCTCTTTTGAAAGAAAATGTAGGACAACTTTTTGCCTCAAGATTGCATTTCAGTAGAAAACACAAGATGAAGAGAATCGATTGTTTGCTTGTGATCTGAACTCAGATAAAAGCCTAAAGCTGTTTTGATGAGACTAATCTGTTTGTACTGAAGATAAATGAACACACTGTACTGCATCAAGAGGCTTCTGTATTCAGGTCCTCAAAAGGTCTTTGACTGTATAAGTAAAATCTTTATCTCTGTTGCAACTGATCTGTTCCCCTTCTGTTCTAGTGTTGTGCTTTTTGAGCACTATTATTTGTGAAAGGATCTTGCTTCACTGGTCACTTGATCTGTTCTATTCTTACGCTGTTTTGTTTAATACACAAAACTGTTGTGTATCCCTTGGGGGAAAATGTTTGGCAGAGAAGAATTTTGAATGTGTTGACAAAGACCAGTTTTGAGGCTATTGCTTTGAAGATATGTGAATTGTATCTTATCACATTTTATGTAGGTTAATGGTATTTTTGGGTTAATCATCCTTCTCCCATGGAAAAAAATCACATGGAAGGCAAACAAAATGATCACACTTACAAAGCTCTGAAGCTGTGGAATATCTGAGGCAGAGGGGTTTGCAAACACATGCGGGAGCAAGAGGAATGGACCCCTAAATGTATGAATATTGTGAGATCGACAGCTGGATCTGTGGCTAATCTGGTATCTGTGTGAAGATTAAGGCCCTGGATACTCTCTCTCCCCCCCACCGGCTCACAGACACAGTGCTGCCATTGGCCGTGCCCCTTCCAATTCCACTGAAATACAAGTACAAGAGACCTTCCTTATTGGACAACTTCCTCTCAAGAAATGAAGCTAAAGTATTCCTGAATGTATCAAGCACAATTCAGATTAACCTTTATTAGAAGAACTTGATTAAGCAACTCATTTTTGTTGACTGGTTGAGTGGTCTGTTAAAAACATGTTTTGCTGTTTATGGTTGTTGTTTTTCCTCTTTTTGAGTATTGTGACAAAGTTCCTCCTATCTTGGTGGGTCCTGCACTTATTGGCAGATTTTCTTGCCTCAGAGATTCACCATGTGGGTTGGGGAACAGCCCAGAGACCTTCCCCTCTGGGAGAACCCACAGTCCAGGTCAATTGGGAGGTTTGGGGGGAACCTGGGCCCGCCCTCTATTCCGGGTTCCAGCCCAGGGCCCTGTGGACTGCAGCTGTCTATAGTGCCTCCTGTAACAGCTACATGACAGCTACAACTCCCTGGGCTACTTCCCCATGGCCTCCTCCAAACACCTTCCTTATTCTCACCACAGGACCTTCCTCCTGGTGTCTGATAACGCTTGTGCTCCTCAGTCCTCCAACAGCACACCCTCTCAGCTCCTTGCGCCTCTTGCTCCCAGCTCCTCACGCTCGCACCACAAACTGAAGTGAGCTCCTTTTTAAAACCCAGGTGCCCTGATTGATTCTAGAAGCTTCTTCTTAATTGGCTCCAGGTGTCCTAATTAGCCTGGCTGCCTTAACTGGTTCTAGCAGGTTTCTGATTACTCTAGCGCAGCCCCTGCTCTGGTCACTCAGGGAACAGAAAACTACTCATCCAGTGACCTGTATATTTGCCCTCTACCAGACTCCTGTACCCCACTGGTCTGGGTCTGTCACAGTATTAATGTCTAGCAAGATATCCATGCTAATGGATAGAATACCTGGAAGAATTGAGGGGTGACTCAGTGTCAGATGTAGGACCTGAAACTAATTTGAGCTCCTTTTCTGAAATTGACTAGATCACAGGTTGATGGTGTCCATTTAATTATAGAGCTTCAAGCAATGAGAATTAGTATTTTTACCTGCTTTTTGCTGGAGCTCTTAGCACAATGGGATCTTTATTCTGATTAGGGCCTTCGAGTGCCAATGCAGTAGAAATAACAACTGCTGTAATAGACCTTTACATTCACTTTCCCTCTGGACAGCAAATAAAAATTCAGTGAAGCTAAGAAATATAGAAGTGGTGAGATATGTCTGCACATGACATACTGGTGTTTGCATTGCTTTATGAAAGATCTTTGTGTCTTTGAGACTGCATAGCTCTGGAGATGGGGTGGTTGCTAAGGTAACAGTTTTTGGGGTTTTTTTTGGTTATAAACCGAATTGATGTGTAAAACCTGTGTAAATTGTCAGCGGTACAGCAAATGTTTGCTCATCCAGTCTCCATGGTCCTCAGTTTATTGGTCTCAGTCTACCTGATTTTGTGTCCCTCTCTCTTCTTTATTATCTTGCTTGCCTGCCTATGGTATATAAAACCTGCTTTAATTAATTAGAACCACTGTTACATCTATATTTAGAATATTTCCCTGTCCTTGTCCTATTTAAATCTAAGCTCTTGCTCTAATTTTCTGTTTTTGCTGTGTTTGGTTTTATGAGGATGATTTTGATAATATTTCTGAGTAGTTGAAAATGTTTGAATAATTTATGATGAAATAATGGCAAAATGCCCTGAGTCCCTTGCAGGAGGGAATAAAACTGCGGACACATTTGATAAATAATAGTAATAATAATAATAGTTAATATAAATTATTTTATTATTAATTTTATTAAATTTGGATCCTCCTCCTCCTTGAGGGAGGAAAACTCATTTAATAAATCATGGAAATCATAACAGTGGCACAAATATGTATTCCCTGTGTATCCAAAGCTCCCATTATGATCTATTTCTTAGACCATAATCACTCACAGATATCCTCCCTCAGAATTGGGCACTGTATAAATACAGAAGCAGATATAATCACTGCCCCAAAGGGCTACACACTATTGATTTTAATGGGAATTTTGGGAGTTAGGGAGGCCTCAATTCTGCAAGGTACTGAGCACTCTGGATCTGATCCAGTAATGTATTTAAGAACAAAAGATATACATCCAAATGGATTACCACTGTCACCTACACTTCTCCCCTCAGACTTCTTGTATATTTTTAAAGCTATTGATCCTGTGCTTAAAGGATACGCACAAGCTTAAGTGCTCTGTTGGAGCAAGGCCAGAGTGCTCAGCACCTGTGGGACCAAGGTGAGAATGCAGGATCTTTGGTAAGGAAGTAGAAGAAACGATGTATTCTATTTATTTTTCTAAGTACAATTATCATGTCATCAAGCAACTTGATTTTACAGAGGTCCTTAACGGGTATAAATCCTGAAGTGTGTAAATAGTGTGTGGACACACTGGACCTGATCTCACTCATTCACACCAGTGTGAGTCAGAGAAGTGAGTTCTGATTTACTCCAGAGCGATGGAGAACAGAATCTAGCTCATTACTTTTTATAAAATAGTTTGCTCTTTAGTAATTTATCGTCAAATGAGATACTTTTAGACCTTTTTAGACTTACATTGTTCCACTACAAAGGAGTCTGTGAAGCTGAGTTGCCTCACTTCATTCGGAACTCTGGGGCCCTTGTGCCTCAGGCTGGCCCAATAGGTCTCTTTCTCCATTGCCTTTCCCGATATGTAGT